CTTCACCACTGAACTAAAAGGGTGTCTGGGGGCCATACTCTTGGGGTTTCTCCAGTCTCCTTTAGGCCACTAAATCTGGTCTTTTGTGTGTGTGTGTGTGTGTGTGTGTGTGTGTGTGTGAGTTAGGATTTTATTCTACATCCTTCTCCAGCTCTGTCCAGAACCCTCTGTTATGATCCCGGTCAGAGCAGTCAATGGTGGTAGCCTGGCACCATCTAGCTGTACTGGACTCAGTCTGGTGGAGGCTGTGGGAGCTGTGGTCCATTAGTCCTTCAGACTAATCTTTTCCTTGTATCCTGTTCTCTTCATTCTCCCTTCCTCCCGAAGAGGTGAGACCAGTGTAGTATCTTAGATGGCTGCTCACAGGCTTTTAAGACCCCAGACGCTACTCACCAAGATAGAATGTAGAACTTTGTCTTTATAAACTGTGTTATGCCAGTTGAACTAGATGTTCCCCGAGACCATGGTCCCCAAAGCCCTCCGCCCAGCAGTTCAGTCCCTCAGGGAGTTTAGATGTGTCTATGGAGTTTCCATGACCTTTCGTTGTACAAGTTGTGCTGGCTTCTCCAGTATTGTGTACTGTCTCACCCTTCAACAAAGTTACCACTTACCTATTGTCTGTTTAGTTCCCACCCCCATCCCTCGTAACCAAAGATTGTTTCTTTTTGTATATAAACTTTTTCATGCGTTTTTACATACAATATTTACATACAATATTTGTCTTTTTGTGATTGGCTTATTTCACTCAGCATAATGTCCTTCAGTTTGATCCAAGTTATGAGATGCTTCACAGATTCATCATTGTTCTTTATCTTTGCATAATACTCCATTGTGTGTATGTACCATATTTTGTTTATGCATTCATCTGTTGAGGGGCATCTAGGTTGTTTGCATCTTTTCGCTATTGTGAACAATGCTGCAGTGAACATGGGTGTGCATATGTCCGTTTGTGTGACGATTCTTATTTCTCTAGGATATATTCCTAGGAGTGGGATTGCTGGATCGTATGGTATTTCTATTTCTAGCTTTTTAAGGAAGCGCCATATCATTTTCCAAAATGGTTGTATGTTATATGTTTTTTAAACCATCTTTAATATAGCATCACTTAAGGAAACAAGCTCCATAAGAATAATACTCAATTGAAAACTACTTATATCTCTTGTAGCGTTACCCTAAATATTTCAAAATTTGGCAAACAAAATTTTGATTACGATGACCATGATTTTTCTGATAGAATTACAATTTTTTCTTCCTTAATGTACATAGAATAGAATGGAGAACTTTTTTTTTCATCATACCACCTAACTTAAGATCGACTCTAACATTTGACATCTGAAAAAGTTACTAATATTAACTAACGATCAGCTGTTAACACAATGCATATAGCATGGCCTTAAATGCTGACTAAAGGTTTTAGTTTATATTTAGGAGCATTAGAGGGAACTCTTGAAACTGTCAGCTGTAACACTTTCCAGTCCCATGAACCTGAAAGAGATAGTAAGGTCATAATGAAAGTAACCTTGACTCAGTACTACTAGGAAGTGTTGTCTCATATAATTGTGAATGAAGTCAATTTCATCCCAAGTTAAATGAAAATAAAGCAAAATAATGATGTTTATTTACTAGGCAGGAAAAAAAAATAGTGTGGATTTTTAATTTTTTTTCCTTGTAAGAAGTTAACCACCATAATGTTTTCGCATTCAGGTATCCTCAGTCTATTGGAACATGGAGAAGAGTATACATTTTCTCTACCTTGTGCATATGCCCGGTCAATTTTAACTGTTCCTTGGGTAGAACTGGGTGGCAAAGTCAGTGTCAACTGTGCAAAGACCGGGTATTCAGCCAGCATCACTTTTCATACTAAGCCATTTTATGGCGGCAAACTGCACCGGTAAGAACATTTTAATGATACCAGGCTCTTCCTATACCACTTTGATCGTGTTCTGTAACTCCTAGTTCTTTTTCTGCTTTGTTTTGTATGTATGGGATTGGATTTTTATTCATGTTTATTTTTGTTTAATGTATTTAGTCTTTCAAGGCATTCTGGAAATCATCATCTAGTTTTAAAAATAGTAACATTATTAACAGATCTGCTTTTATAAAATTTTTCTGGTGAAGTAGCTAAGAAGAGTTGTAGACTAGAATTCCTGACAAGTAAATAAGCAGTCTCTGGCCCAATCTTTACCTTTAAAGGGATTCAGATTTGCATCCGGACCTCAGTGGAAGCAACCATTGCTACAAGTTAGGGTGAAAATATATCTAGTCACAGGAAAATAGTTCAAGAAGTAGAACGATGGAAATCAACATGATGTCTTTAGATAACAAGATTGAATAGTGGCGTTGCTCTAATTTCATCTAGGAGTTGGTCAATTATCATACTCCTTTCTTGGCTTGTCAGTGTCTTCAGCATTAGTCTAGATCACACCAACTACAGGAAGACAAGTTTTCTAATGTTTGTTGTTGTGTTGCGTCGAGCCGATTCCGACTTACAGAAACCCTATAGTGCCCCGTAGGGTTTCCGTATGCTGTAAACTTTACAGCACAGATGATCAGGTCTTTTCTCTTACAAAGCCACTGGTGCATTTGAACCACTAACCTTTTGGTTAACAGCCAAGTGCTTAACCATTGCACCGCCAGGGCTCCTAAGTTTTCTAATAGGAGCCTTAAAAGGATACTGACTCTTTCCTTAAGCCCCTGATGTCTATTTTGACTGTCTCTGAAGTAGGGGTAGTTTTATTTTTTATAAAATTTTTATTAAGGAATAATATGTACACAAAAGTATACAAATTGATGAAACCATGTGAGCACTCTGATCAAGACGTGGAACATTACTAGAACTCCAGAGGCTCACCCACTTCATGCCCTGTTCCAGTCACAAACCCCCACTTCATATACCCACTTTGCTGATTTCTACCAATGTAGAGTAGTTTGCCTGTTTTTGAACTCTATATAAGTGAAATCATTATGTGCTCTTTCATATCTGGCTTTTTGATTCAACATTATGTTTTTGAAATTCATCCACATATAAAAAAACCAAAACCAAACCAGTTGCCGTCAAGTTGATTCCAATTCATAGTGACCCTGTAGGACAGAGTAGAACTACCCCTTAGGGTTTCCAGGGAGCGGCTGGTGGATTCAAACTCCTGACCGGTTGATTAGCAGCCAAGCTCTTATTTGTGTCAACATTTATGTTTTTGAAATCCATCCACATGTAGCCGTAGTTAATTCTCCTTACTGTGGACTGTATTCCATTGTATGACTAGCCCACAGTTTATTTATTCATTCTACTGCTTATGGGCATTTGAGTAGTTTTCAGTTTTTTGCTATGACAGACAGTGCTGCTGTAACATGATTTGGTAAATATATGGGTGAGTTTTTGTTGGGTAGATACCTAGGGAGGTAGAATTGCTGGGTTGTGGGGAATGTGTAAGTTGAGCTTTAACGGATACTGCTGAACAGTTTCTTAAGTGGTTATACCAAAATACACCCCCTCCAGCCATGTATGACACTTTCAATTGCTTATGACTATATTCCTTTTTCCCTAGATGTCTAATACTCAACAATCTTAGAAAGCTTGCTTGACTCCCAGGCATATAATATGGATTTCAAAACACTGAAGCAGAGAATCTTTTTCAAAATGTACAGCTCACCAAGCTGAACCACTAGTCAGTGTCTGAATTGGTCACCTTTTACCCTTAGAGAATGTATTAATATAGTTCACACTGTTTGTTATATATGCCTCTATTTATTCCTCCCATCATAGTAATTTAAGTAACCTAAGCCTTACAATTAGAAGGGACTTTAGAAATCACTAGACCAGCATTTACTAGATGGATAAATCCCTCGTCAACATACCTGACAACTGATCTGTTCAGTCTGTGTTAATAATATTATTAGTAAAGAACTCACAGTGCAGAAGGCAGTCCATTCCATTTTCAGAGCCCCCTCATTTATATGAAGTTAGAGCTGAAATCTGTATCCTTGTAACATTATCTCATTGGTGAAATTATTCTCCAGAGTATATGCTTGAGTAGGATGCTTAGCGGAAAACAACAAAGTTTCCAGATTCAGTGTTTATTATTGTCAGTGGTATTGGTGTATTTCTTAGTGGTATGTGATCTTTTTCTTTTTAAATAATATTTTTTGGATAAGGAGATGTGGATCAATTTTAGTTTCCTTTTTTTTTAAAAAAAAAAATTATCTCTGGTGTCTGAAATTGCATTCTGAGAGTATACGTGTATACGTATGTGTGCATATATGTATATATATGTATGTATGTTCTTTGAATTCCTGCTGGACTTACAACGTCCATAACAACACCTTGTTAATACATAAACTTGTTCTTTTGATTGTTTCATATGGTTTCATCTTATTTCACCAACATGGCTGTAAGCTCCTTGACAGAGCTGTACCGTTTTGGGCTTTCTGTTGTGCCTATGGAAACCCTGGTGGCGTAGCGGTTAAGAGTTTGGCTGCTAACCAAAAGGTTGGCAGTTCAAATCCACCAGGCGCTCCTTGGAAACTCTGTGGGGCAGTTCTTCTCATTCCTGTAGGATCACTATGAGTTGGAATCGAGTTGACAGCAATGGGTTTGGTTTTTTTTATTTTTTATTTTTGGTTGTGCCTGTAGAGTGCTGGGTTTGTTGTAAGTAATTGTAAATATTTGCTGATTTTTCTTGGGAAATATGATTAAGTGTGAGTTTCTTTGTTCTTGGAGATAGAGTTTGGTCCAAACTGTCAAATTGTAGCTATTCCCAATGTTCCTTTGATCTACTGTTGGTTACTTCTTAGGTATGAACCCTTGGATTTGATGTTTTGGAGCTGCACATAGTATTCACTTTCTTTAGGATAGCCCTTCAGAGTTTGAAAACAGCTGTTGTGCCTCTTCTTATTTTTCTCTTCTCTGAGTTTAATATCCTTATTTCATTCAATGATCACTCTTAATGATGTGAAGAGCTAAGACAGTGGTTTTTTATTGGCATGTTCCACCGGTGCCAGAGAGTTGAAAATCCTGGAGCCACAGTTGGAAGCAAGTCAGGAGTAGATGCTAATGACATTGATACTAGCTGCTAGGGTAGTAGGATCAACCTACAAGAAGATATTGAAACTTACAAACACCAGCAAACACAGAAAGTTTGTGTTGGATTATTTAAGTGTGTCTAAACTGTAAAAATCCAGCAGAGTTTCATATTAAATTATTTTCACTTTTAAATTGTGTTTATTTATTCATATTCCTATTTGGTCCTTGCCATTTGAATATATCTTTTAACCCTGATATAAGAATAGATCATACTGTTTTATGTTCTCCATTTTCTGTCTGTCACTCAAAGGTATTTTTTACTTGGCTCCAGATTTTCTAATGATGGTTTATAATAACTCCATAAAAATAGAAACTGGATTACAAAGGAGCTGAGGGTTGATGGAAGTATTCTAAAACTTCATAATGGTGGTAGTTGCACAACTATATACATATATCAAAACTAATCAAACCGTACACTTAAATTAGTATGTTTTATTATATGTAAATTATACCTCCATGAACATATAAAAGTAGAAGTAGAAACCGAGTAATTGATCAACAGTGATGGGATGTTAAAGGAAATATTGGCCCTTTTACTCAGTAAAATATTCCATATTTTTTGAAGACACAAATTATGATTTATATTTTTCAGCAGCAATATTTACTGCATAAGTATTTTCATTTACTAGTTTATTCTACATCCTTTTATTAATATCTCATGGCAGAAGTCTGAATTATCTGAATTATTTGCTCAGTTATGTACTAAAAGGATCTTTTATAAGAGTTTTTTCTAATACGAGTTTTCTGATATTTAATAAGCTGAGAGCTCTACCTAAAGGCTTTTCCATGTTGATTCTATATATAGATATCTGTAGCAAGAGGTCTTTAATGTTTATAAGATCTTTAATTGGTGATTACTAAAGACTTTCATTCATTATATTCAAAGTGTTTTTCTCTGGTGTGAATTCTCACGTTTTGCCAAGTGTGGCTCTGAGAAAATTTCCCACATTCATTTCATTCAACATGTGCCTGCAGTGTGAATTCTCTAGTGTCTATCAAGAGACTTTCTCCTGTTACAGACCTCTCTATATTCATTACATATATAGGATTTCTCCTCAATATGAGTTATCTTGTGTATACTAAGGCTAGAACTACAGCTGAGGGCTCTTCCACGTTGATCACAGAGGATTTCTCATTGAAGGCTCTTATACATTGCTTAGAGAAATAGCATTTCCCACCAGTGGAGTGTTCTCCTGTGAGTGTTCTGAATCCTTGGCCACATTACTTTTTTAGGGTTTCTCTACTGTATGAATTTTCCTGTTTTAGCATGAAGGCTAAAACTCTGGTGAAGACTCTCCCACCATGATTACACCAAAACCCAAACCCACCGAGTCAGTTTTCCCTCCAGTATGAATTTTCTGGTGTTGTAAACGGAAGACCTCTGACTGAAGTCTTATCCACACTTAACTCCATTTATAGGGTTTTTCTCCAGTGTGAATTCTCTTGTGTTTTCTAAGGGTTGAGTAAAGGCTTTCCCACTTAGATCACATTGACATGGTTTCTGTCCAGTATGAATTCTTTCATGTCATTTAAGGAGTGAGTGATTATGGAAAGTTTCCTCATGATATTGAGCTTCATATGGTTTTTCTCCAGTGTGTTTTCTCTTGTGTCACTTCAGATATGAATGATTACTAAAGGCTTTTTCAAAATGGTTGTATTTATAGAGTTTTTGTCCAATGTGAGGTTTCCCATGTCTGTAAAGGATAGATAGTGACTGTAGGATTTTTCTAAATCATTACATTCTTCTAAGGTTTCTCTGTGAACTTTGAGTCAATTAAGAGATAAGATTCTTTTAAAAGATTTCTCTACTT